GGTCACTCCCGTCCGCAGGGCTATTACCGCCGCACCCCCGCCTACCTGCCGATCCGGCGCCGGGAGCGCCGGGGCTGCTTCGCGGTGCCCATGGTGCACTCCACCTTCCTGCTGGACCTGCGGCGCGAGCGCTCGCGGAGCCTGGCCTTCCACCCGCCGCCGCCCGGCTACAGCGGCGCCTTCGACGACATCATCGTCTTCGCCGCCGCCTGCCGGCACTCCGGTGAGGATGGGCATTGGGATTGTTGGGTTGGGTTGGGATTGTTGAGTTGGGTTGGGATGACATCATCGTCTTCGCCGCCGTCTGCCGGCACGCTGGTGAGGATGGGCATTGGGATTGTTGGGTTGGGTTGGGATTGTTGAGTTGGGTTGGGATGACATCATCGTCTTCGCCGCCGCCTGCCGGCACGCCGGTGAGGATGGGCATTGGGATTGTTGGGTTGGGTTGGGTTGACATCATCGTCTTCGCCGCCGCCTGCCGGCACGCCGGTGAGGATGGGCATGGCATGGTTGGGTTGGGTTGGGATTGTTGAGTTGGGTTGGGATGACATCATCGTCTTCGCCGCCGTCTGCCGGCACGCTGGTGAGGATGGGCATTGGGATTGTTGGGTTGGGTTGGGATTGTTGAGTTGGGTTGGGATGACATCATCGTCTTCGCCGCCGCCTGCCGGCACGCCGGTGAGGATGGGCATTGGGATTGTTGGGTTGGGTTGGGATTGTTGAGTTGGGTTGGGATGACATCATCGTCTTCGCCGCCGTCTGCCGGCACGCTGGTGAGGATGGGCATTGGGATTGTTGGGTTGGGTTGGGATTGTTGAGTTGGGTTGGGATGACATCATCGTCTTCGCCGCCGCCTGCCGGCACGCCAGTGAGGATGACAACGGGCGTTGGGTTGGGTTGGGTTATGATGACATCATCGTCTTCACCACCACCTGCTGGCACACCCGTGAGCATGGGGATGGGATGGTTGGGTTGAGTTGGGATTGTTGGGTTGGGTTGAATTGGGTTGGGTTGGGGTGGATTGGGTTGGGTTGGGTTGGGTTGGGTTGGATTGGGTTGGGTTGGGTTGAGTTGGGTTGGGTTGAGTTGGGATTGTTGGGTTGGGTTGAATTGGGTTGGGTTGGGATGACATCATCGTCTTTGCCGCTGGCTGCCGGCACACCAGTGAGCGTGGGCGTGGGCATTGGCATTGTTGGGTTGGGTTGAGTTGGGTTGCGTTGGGATGACATCATCGTCTTCACCGCTGCCTGCTGGCACGCCGGTACAAATGGGGATTGGGATTGTTGGGTTGAGTTGGGATGGGTTGGGTTGGGTTGGGTTGGGTTGAGGTGGGATGAGTTGGGTTGGGATTGGGCTGGAATTTGAGATCGACGTTGGGTGATCCCAGCACAGGAGCGACTCCCCCATCCTGATCCTGCTCTGGTCCCATTCCCGATCCCAATCCCGGTGCCCATCCCAATCCTGGTCCCAATCCCAATCCCAATCCCATTCCAGGGGTGCAGATGTTCGTGTCCAACCGGGAGCAGTTCGGGTTCCTGCCGGTGCCGCTGCGCTCCCAGAGCTCCCTGCGGGACGAGGCCGAGAACTTCCTGCACGTCCAGCTGGAGATCATGGGTGAGATCCCAAAGGATCCCAAAGGATCCCGATGGATCCGGGGCCTCGGGGTCGGCCCGAGGGATCCAGGGATTTGGGGGTGTGGGGCAGGGAGGGATCCCAAAGGATCCCAAAGGATTTAGGACCTTGGGATTGTGAGGCAGGGATGGATCCCAGTGGATCCCAAGGGATCCAGGGATTTGGGGGTGTGGGAGAGGGAAGGATCCCAGTGGATCCCAACGGATCCCAAAGGATTCAGGGCTTTGGGATTGTGGGGGAGAGGAGGATCCCAATGAATCCCAACAGATCCCAAAGGATCCAGGGCCTTGGGATAGTGGGGGAGGGAGGGATCCTGGGATGGGACCCCTGGGATGGGAAATGTTCCTGCTGGGATCTGGGGCTGATTCCTGGTGGGATTTGAGGCTGATTCCCATGGGATTTGGGGCTGAATCCTTTGGGATTTGGGGCTGATTCCTGATGGGATTTGGAGTTGATTCCTTCGGGATCTGGGGTTGATTCTTGGTGGGATTTGGGGTTGATTCCTTTGGTATTTGGAGCTGATTCCCATGGGATTTGGGGTTGGTTCCTTTGGGATTTAGGGGTTCATTCCCATGGGATTTTGGATCCATTCCCATGGGATTCTCCCATTCCCATGGAATTTAGGGGTTCATTTCCATGGATTTGGGATTTGTTCCCATGGGATTTAGGGCTCATTCCCATGGATTTGGCCCCGTTCCCACGGGATTCTCCCGTTCCCACAGTGAAGCTCCCTCCGGCCGAGCCCTCCCCCCACGTGTGGGTCCCTCCCAAGGTCCTGGACAAGCTGGGATTCGATGAGGTGGGAGCCCCTCCCTCGGAATTCCGGCCGGAATCCCCCTCCCCTCAGAGTTTGGGGTCTTTTCCCTCCTTTTCCTCGGGATTTTGGGTCATTTTTCTCCTTTCCCCATTTTCTCCCTAGTTTTTCCCCATTTTCCCCCAAGATTGTGATTCAGGGCTTTGGGATTGTAGGGGAGGGAAGGATCCCAAAGGATCCCAAAGGATTCGAGACCTTGGGATTGTGGGTCAGGGATGGATCCCAATTGATCCTGAGGGATCCAGGGCTTTGGGGTTGTAGGGGAGGGAAGGATCCCAAAGGATCCAGGGCCTTGGGATCCTGGGAAGGAGGAGGAACCTGGGATGGGACCCCTGGGATTGGGAATTCTTCGTTCTCTGGGGTGGGAAATGTTCCTTTGGGATCTGGGGCCGATTCCTTTGGGATTTGGTGTCCATTCCCATGGGATTTAGGGTTCATTCCTATGGAATTTGGGGCCCATTCCCATGGGATTTGGAGCTGATTCCTTTGGGATTTAGGGGCCATTCCCATGGGGTTTGGGGCTCATTCCCATGGGATTTGGGGCTGATTCCTTTGGGAATTGGGGGCCCATTCCTTTGGGATTTTGGGGCTGATTCCCGGTGGGATTTAGGGTTCATTCCCATGGGATTTGGGGTTCATTCCCGTGGGATTCTCCCATTCCCATGGGTTTGGGGTTCATTCCCACGGGATTCGCCTGTCCCCATGGAACTTGGGGCCCATTCCCATGGATTTGGGGCCCATTCCAGTGGAATTGTCCTGTTCCCCTGGGATTTCGGGTTCATTCCCATGGATTTGGGGTTCATTCCCACGGGATTCTCCTGTCCCATGGATTTTGGCCCCGTTCCCATAGGATTCTCCCGTTCCCATGGATTTGGGGTTCATTCCCATGGAATTTGGGGCTCATTCCCATGGATTTGGGGTTCATTCCCATGGATTTTGGCCCCATTCCACGGATTTGGCCCCATTCCCACGGGATTCTCCCATTCCCATGGGATTTCAACCTGCGGCGCCGCGCGGCGCGCCGGGCGCGGATGCTGCGCTCGCTGCACGCCCTGGGCGTGGCGCCGCGCCTGCTGGAGGCCGTGGACGGCCGGTGAGCCCCGGGGGGTGGGCGGCACCCCGAGCCCCCCGAATTCCCTTCTGGAACCTTCCGGGCTCCGCAGGGCGCTCAACGGCAGCCAGCTGGAGGCGCTGGGGGTGCGGATGCTGCCGGGGTACCGGGACCCCTTCCACGGGAGACCCCTGACCCGCGGCGAGGTGGGCTGCTTCCTCAGCCACTTCCAGGCCTGGCAGGAGGTGAGCAACGGGAAATTCGGGGGTTTGGGAATTTGGGAATAGGGGAATTTGGGGTGGGAATTGGGGAATTTGGGGGATCCAGGGAGTTCCCAAGGGTGGGAGGGAGCCGCTGCTTCCTCAGCCACTTCCAGGCCTGGCAGGAGGTGAGCAACGGGGAAGTTCGGGAATTTGGGATGGGAATTTGGGGGTTTGGGGTGGGAATTGGGGTATTTGGGTGGGAATTGGGGAATTTGGGGGTCCAGAGGGTCCAGAGGGTTCAGGGAGTCCAGGGGGATCCAGGGAATTCCAGAGGAGCCGCTGCTTCCTCAGCCACTTCCGCGTCTGGCAGGAGGTGAGGAACGGGAATTTGGGAATTTGGGGTGGGAACTGGGAAATCTGAGGTGGGAATTGGGGAATTTGGGGTGGGAATTGGGGAATTTGGGGGTCTGGAAGGATCCAGAGGGTCCAGGGGGTCTGGGAGTCCAGGGGGATCCAGGGAATTCCAGAGGAGCCTCTGCTCTGCTTCCTCAGCCACTTCCGCGTCTGGCAGGAGGTGAGGAACGGGAATTTGGGAATTTGGGATGGGAATTCTGGAATTTGGGGGGGTCTGGGAGTCCAGGGGGATCCAGGGAGCTCCCACGAGTGCGAGCAGGTCTCCCAGGATCCGGCCCAAATCCCTGGAATTCCTGGGGTGTGTGGGTGATTCCCGGGGTACATGCAGGAGGTGAGCAACGGGGAAATTCGGGAATTTGGGACGGGAATTTGGGGATTTGGGGTGGGAATTGGGGTATTTGGGGTGAGAATTGGGGAATTTAGGGTGGGAATTGGGGAATTTGGGGGTCCGGAAGGGTCCAGGGGGTCAGGGAGTCCAGGGAATTCCAGAGGAGCCGCTGCTTCCTCAGCCACTTCCAGGCCTGGCAGGAGGTGAGCAACGGGAAATTCGGGGGTTTGGGAATTTGGGAATTGGGGTATTTGGGGTGGGAATTGGGGAATTTGGGGGATCCAGGGAGTTCCCAAGGGTGGGAGGGAGCCGCTGCTTCCTCAGCCACTTCCAGGCCTGGCAGGAGGTGAGCAACGGGGAAATTCGGGAATTTGGGACGGGAATTTGGGGATTTGGGGTGGGAATTGGGGTATTTGGGGTGAGAATTGGGGAATTTAGGGTGGGAATTGGGGAATTTGGGGGTCCGGAAGGGTCCAGGGGGTCAGGGAGTCCAGGGAATTCCAGAGGAGCCGCTGCTTCCTCAGCCACTTCCAGGCCTGGCAGGAGGTGAGCAACGGGAAATTCGGGGGTTTGGGAATTTGGGAATTGGGGTATTTGGGGTGGGAATTGGGGAATTTGGGGGATCCAGGGAGTTCCCAAGGGTGGGAGGGAGCCGCTGCTTCCTCAGCCACTTCCAGGCCTGGCAGGAGGTGAGCAACGGGGAAATTCGGGAATTTGGGACGGGAATTTGGGGATTTGGGGTGGGAATTGGGGTATTTGGGGTGAGAATTGGGGAATTTAGGGTGGGAATTGGGGAATTTGGGGGTCCGGAAGGGTCCAGGGGGTCAGGGAGTCCAGGGAATTCCAGAGGAGCCGCTGCTTCCTCAGCCACTTCCAGGCCTGGCAGGAGGTGAGCAACGGGGATTTGGGACAGGAATTTGGGAATTTGGGGTGGGAATTGGGGAATTTGGGGTGGGAATTTGGGAATTTGGGGGTCCGGAAGGGTCCAGAGGGTTCAGGGAGTCCAGGGGGATCCAGGGAATTCCAGAGCAGCCGCTGCTTCCTCAGCCACTTCCAGGCCTGGCAGGAGGTGAGGAACGGGGAAATTCGGGAATTTGGGACGGGAATTTGGGGATAGAGGTGGGCTGCTTCCTCAGCCACTTCCAGGCCTGGCAGGAGGTGAGCAACGGGAAATTCGGGGGTTTGGGAATTTGGGAATTGGGGAATTTGGGGTGGGAATTGGGGAATTTGGGGGATCCAGGGAGTCCCCAAGGGTGGGAGGGAGCCGCTGCTTCCTCAGCCACTTCCAGGCCTGGCAGGAGGTGAGCAACGGGAAATTCGGGGGTTTGGGAGGGGAATTTGGGGATTTGGGGTGGGAATTGGGGTATTTGGGGGGGGAAGTGGCGAATTTGGTGGTTCCAGGGAGTTCCCAAGGGTGGGAGGGAGCCGCTGCTTCCTCAGCCACTTCCAGGCCTGGCAGGAGGTGAGGAACGGGAAATTCGGGGGTTTGGGAGGGGAATTTGGGGATTTGGGGTGGGAATTGGGGTATTTGGGTGGGAATTGGGGAATTTGGGGGTCCAGGGAGTTCCCAAGGGTGGGAGGGAGCCGCTGCTTCCTCAGCCACTTCCAGGCCTGGCAGGAGGTGAGCAACGGGGAAGTTCGGGAATTTGGGATGGGAATTTGGGGGTTTGGGGTGGGAATTGGGGTATTTGGGTGGGAATTGGGGAATTTGGGGGTCCAGAGGGTCCAGAGGGTTCAGGGAGTCCAGGGGGATCCAGGGAATTCCAGAGGAGCCGCTGCTTCCTCAGCCACTTCCGCGTCTGGCAGGAGGTGAGGAACGGGAATTTGGGAATTTGGGGTGGGAACTGGGAAATCTGAGGTGGGAATTGGGGAATTTGGGGTGGGAATTGGGGAATTTGGGGGTCTGGAAGGATCCAGAGGGTCCAGGGGGTCTGGGAGTCCAGGGGGATCCAGGGAATTCCAGAGGAGCCTCTGCTCTGCTTCCTCAGCCACTTCCGCGTCTGGCAGGAGGTGAGGAACGGGAATTTGGGAATTTGGGATGGGAATTCTGGAATTTGGGGGGGTCTGGGAGTCCAGGGGGATCCAGGGAGCTCCCACGAGTGCGAGCAGCACTCCCAGGATCCATCCCAAATCCCTGGAATTCCTGGGGTGGGTGGGTGATTCCCGGGGTCCATCCCAAATTCCCGGAATTCCCGGCACTCCCGGGGTCCATCCCAATCCCCGTTGTTCCCAGGGTCCCTCCCCATTCCCAGCATTCCTGGGGTCTGTTCCCGTTGTCCCCGGGGTCCCTCGCTGTTCCTGGAATTCCCGTTATTCCCGGGGTCCCTCCCAGTTCCCGCCATTCCCTGGAATTCCCATTGTCCCTCCATGTTCCCGTTATTCCCGGGGTCCCTCTCCATTCCCGGCATTCCCTGTTATTCCCGTGGTCCCTCCCTGTTCCCTGCAATTCCCGTTGCCTCTCCCTGTTCCCGTTATTCCCACGGTCCCTCACGGTTCCTGACGTTCCCTGGAATTCCCGTGGTCCCTCCCGGTTCCCGTTGTTCCCGTTATTCCCATGGTCCCTCCCGGCGTTCCCGGCATTCCCTGGAATTCCCATTACTCCCGTGGTCCCTCCCAGCATTCCCGGCATTCCCTGGAATTCCCGTTGTTATTCCCGTGGTCCCTCCCGGCATTCCCTGGAATTCCCTTCCATTGACCCTATTGACCCCATTGATCTCATTCATCGTAATGACACCAATGATCCCATTGACTGCATTGATCCCAATGACCACACTGACCCCACTGATCCCATTGACCTCATTCATCCCAATGATATCAATGACCCCAATTATCCCATTAATCCCATTAAGCCAAATGACCCCATTGACTGCACTGATCCCGTCGATCTCATTCATCACAATGACACCATTGATCCCATTGACCCCATTGCTCCCAATGATCCCATGGATTGTAATGATCCATATCCCACTGTTCTCATTGATCCCATAGACTGCAATTGTCCCATTGATCCTGTTCATCCCATTGATCCCAATTATCCCATTGATCTCATTGATCCTGTGACCACATTGATACCAATGATCCCATTGACCTCATTGATCCCATTGATCCCATTGACTCCATTGATCCCAATTATCCCATTGATCTCATTGATCTTGTTGACTTCATTGATACCAGTGATCCCAATGACCTGATTAATCTCGTTCATCCCATTGACCCCATTGACTCAATTGATCCCATTGACCCAATTAATCTCATTTGTCACATTGACCCCATTGATCCCAGTGACCCCATTGACTCCATTGACCCCAATGACCCTCTTGATCCCATTGACTCCAGTGACCCCAATGACCTCCTTGACCCCAATGACACCATTGACTCCATTGATCCCAATGACCCTGTTGACCTTATTCATCCCATTGATCCCATTGATCCCAATGATCCCACTGATCCCATTGACCCCAATGATCCCATGGATTGTAATGATCCATATCCCACTGTTCTCATTGATCCCATAGACTGCATTTGTCCCATTGATCCCATTGACTCCATTCATCCCATTGACCCAATTAATCTCATTTGTCACATTGACCCCATTGATCCCAGTGACCCCATTGACTCCATTGATCCCAATTATCCCAACCCCTCATGTTCAACCAGCACCCCAGGTTCCATTTTCCCCCCATTTCCTTCCATTTCTCCCTATTTGTTTCCTGTTTTTCCCCATTTCCCCCCCCTTTCCCCCCATTTTCCCCAGCCCCGAGGACTCCTGGCACTTCTCCCAAATCTCTCCCCTCATTTTCCTGTCATTTTTCCCCCTTTTTCTCCCATTTCCCCAATTTTTTCCCCATTTCCCCCCAGATTCCCCCTGATTTTTTCCCCATTTTCACCCATTTCCCCCTTTTTCCCCCAGCCCCGAGTACTCACGGCACTTCTCCTGGACCTCTCCCCTCATTTTCCCCCCATTTCCCTGGATTTTTTCCCCCCATTTCCCCCCAGATTTTCCCCATTTTCCCCCCATTTCCCCCCAGATTTTCCGCATTTTTCCCCATTTTCCCCCCATTTCCCTGGATTTCCCCCCATTTTTCCCCATTTCCCCCCAGATTTCCCTGGATTTTTTCCCCATTTTCACCCGTTTCCCCCCGTTTTTTCCCCATTTTCCCCCCATTTCCCTGGATTTCCCCCCAGATTTTCCCCATTTTTCCCCGTTTTTCTCCTGATTTTCCCCATTTCCCCCCATTTTCACCCGTTTCCCCCTTTTTCCCCCCAGCCCCGAGTACTCGCGGCACTTCCCGCGCCGGGACCTGCTGGCGTTCTCGGCGGAGCCGCTGCTGCTCTTCCCCACGCACTACACGGGGGAGCCCGGCTACGTCAGCGACACCGAGAGCCCCCCGCAGCCCCCCGGGGCCTGGGACGGGCAGGAATTCCCCCCGGCATCCCGGAATTCCCAGCCCCAGAGCCCCCCGCAGCCCCCCGGGGCCTGGGACGGGCAGGAATTCCCGCGGGAATCCCGGAATTCCCAGCCCCAGAGCCCCCCGCAGCCCCCCGGGGCCTGGGACGGGCAGGAATTCCCGGGGGAATCCTGGAATTCCCAGCCCCGGCACGAGAGCGACGCCCGCGACGAGCTCTGACCCCGAAAACGTGCCTGGGATTTGGGGTGGGGAGGAATTCCCACGGGAATCCCGGAATTCCCATCTTTGGTGCCCCCCGAAATTTGGGATGGGGAAAAATTCCCACGGGAATCCTGGAATTCCCATCCTTGGAGCCCCTTGAATTTGGGATGGGGAGGAATTCCCATGGGAATCCCGGAATTCCCATCTTTGGTGCCCCCCGAAATTTGGGATGGGGAAAAATTCCCACGGGAATCCTGGAATTCCCATCCTTGGAGCCCCTTGAATTTGGGATGGGGAGGAATTCCCATGGGAATCCCGGAATTCCCATCTTTGGTGCCCCCCGAAATTTGGGATGGGGAAAAATTCCCACGGGAATCCCGGAATTCCCATCCTTGGAGCCCCTCAAATCTGGGATGGGGAGGAATTCCCGCGGGAATCCTGGAATTCCCAGCCCCAGAGCACCTCAAAATCTGGGATAGGGAGGAATTCCCATGGGAATCCTGGAATTCCCATCCTTGGAGCCCCCCAAATTTGGGATGGGGAGGAATTCCCATGGGAATCCTGGAATTCCCATCCTTGGAGCCCCCCAAATTTGGGATCGGGAGGAATTCCCTTGGGAATCCTGGAATTCCCATCTTTGGAACCCCCCGAAATTGGGGATGGGGAAAAATTCCCACGGGAATCCTGGAATTCCCATCCTTGGAGCCCCCCAAATTTGGGATGGGGAGGAATTCCCATGGGAATCCTGGAATTCCCATCCTTGGAGCCCCCCAAAATTTGGGATGGAGAAATTTGGGATGGGGAAAAATTCCCACAGGAATCCCAGAATTCCCATCCTTGGAGCCCCCCAAAATTTGGGATAATTCCCATGGGTATCCCAGAATTCCCAACCCTGGAGCCCCCGAAATTTGGGATGGGGAGGAATTCCCATGGGAATCCCGGAATTCCCACCCCAAGAGCCCCTCAGAAATATCCCCAAAATTTGGGATGGGGAAGAATTCCCGTGGGAATTTTGGAATTCCCAACCCCGGCAGGACAGCAGCGAGCTCGGACCCCAAAATTTGGGGGATTTTTATTCCCAAATAAAGTTTCTATTTTTATTTTTCATCCTGGTTTGGGTTTTTATTTCCCCTTTTATTCCCAAATAAAATTTGGATTTTTAATCCCAGTTTGTTGTTTTTTTTTTTTTCCCAAACAAAGTTTTTATTTTTCATCCCAGTTTGGGGTTTTTTTCCCCCCTTTTATTCCTAAATAAAATTTCAATTTTTATTTTTTAAGTTTTTATTTTTCAAGTTTTTATTTTTATTTTTTATCCCAGTTTGGGGGATTTTTTCCTCCCCCTTCCAGGTTTTTTTTTGGGGATTTTGGGCCTTTCCCCATCTCGAAATTTGGGGATTTGGGAGTTTGGGATGGACCTTGGGAGAGGGAAACTGAGGCAGGAAATGCCCCAAAATTCAGGGAAATCCCCCCAAAATTCAGGGAAAAATCCCCCCAAAATTCAGGGAAAAATCCCCCAAAATTCAGGGAAATTCCCCCAAAATTCAGGGGAAAATCCCCCCAAAATTCAGGGGAAAATCCCCAAAATTCAGGGAATAATCCCCCAAATTTCAGAGAAAATCCCCCCAAAATTCAGGGGAAATTCCCCCAAAATTCAGGGAAATTCCCCCAAAATTCAGGGGAAAATCCCCCCAAAATTCAGGGAAAAATCCCCCAAAATTCAGGAAAAATTCCCCAAAATTCAGGGAAAAATCACCCGAAATTCATGGAAAAATGCCCCAAAATTCAGGGAAAAATCCCCCAAAATTCGGGAAAAATCCCCCCAAAATTCAGGGAAAAATCCCCCAAAATTCAGGGAAATTCCCCCAAAATTCAGGGGAAAATCCCCCCAAAATTCCCAAATTTAATTCCCAGATTTGGGCTCTGAAAGAAAAGGGAAACTGAGGCAGGAGAGCCCTCGGAATTCTGGGAAAACGCCCCCAAAATCCCCAAATTTGGGACCCCAGGGAAAGGGAAACTGAGGCACGAGGGGAGTTTTGGGAGGTTTTTTGGGATTTTGGGGTGATTTTGGGTTTTTTGGGGGGGGATTTTGGGTTTATTTGGGGTTTTTTGGGGAGGAATTTTGGGGTTTTTTGGGAATTTTGGGGTTTTTTTGGGAATTTTGGGGTTTTTGGGGGGATTTTTGGGGGGGTTGGAATGTTCCTCTGGGGCATTTTTGGGGATTTTCAGGGATATTTTGGGGATCATTTTGGGCTATTTTGGGGCTATTTTAGGGGTATTTTGGGGATGTTTTCAGGGATATTTTGGGATAATTCCAGGATATTTTCAGGGATACTTTTTGGATAATTCCAGGATATTTTCAGGATAATTCCAGGACATTTTTGGGGTGAATTGGGTGTATTTTGGGCTCAGAGCTCGTCGTGCTCCTCGTGCCCCGCCGGGCTCTCCCTGCAGGCCGCGGGCGTCTCCAGCTCCAGCAGGTACTCGCAGCGGCTCGGCTCCGACGCTGCCGCCAGCGCCGTCTGCAGAGCGCACCTGAGCCGCACCTGGGGAGGGGGACAGGGACACACCTGAGTGACAGGGGACACACCTGAGTGACAGGGGACACACCTGGGACACACCTGAGAGACTGGGGACACACCTGAGTGACCTGGGACACACCTGAGTGACAGGGGACACACCTGGGACACCACACCTGAGTGACAGGGGACACACCTGGGACACACCTGAGTGATTGGGGACACACCTGGGACACCTGGGGATGGGGACAGGGACACCTGAGTGACAGGGGACACACCTGGGACACACCTGAGAGACCTGGGACACACCTGAGTGACAGGGGACACACCTGGGACACCTGAGACACCTGGGGACACCTGAGGGACAGGGGACACACCTGGGACACACCTGAGTGACCTGGGACACACCTGAGTGACAGGGGACACACCTGAGTGACAGGGGACACACCTGAGTGACAGGGGACACACCTGGGACACACCTGAGTGACACCTGGGACACACCTGGGACACGTGAGTGACATCCCAGTTCAGGGATATTTTGGGATAATTCCAGGATATTTTCAGGATAATTCCAGGACATTTTTGGGGTGAATTGGGTGTATTTTGGGCTCAGAGCTCGTCGTGCTCCTCGTGCCCCGCCGGGCTCTCCCTGCAGGGTATTTTTGGGATATTTTCAGGATATTTTCAGGGATATTTTGGGATAATTCCAGGATATTTTCAGGATAATTCCAGGACATTTTTGGGGTGAATTGGGTGTATTTTGGGCTCAGAGCTCGTCGTGCTCCTCGTGCCCTGCCGGGCTCTCCCTGCAGGGTATTTTTGGGATATTTTCAGGATATTTTCAGGGATATTTTTTGGATAATTCCTGGATATTTTGGGGATAATTCCAGGACATTTTTGGGGTGATTTGGGGCAGTTTCGGGGCTCAGAGCTCGTCGTGCTCCTCGTGCCCCGCCGGGCTCTCCCTGCAGGGTATTTTTGGGATAATTCCAGGATATTTTCATGGATATTTTTTGGATAATTTTTGGATATTTTCAGGATATTTCCAGGACATTTTTGGGGTGATTTCAGGATTATTTTGGGGTGAATTGGGTGTATTTCGGGGCTCAGAGCTCGTCGTGCTCCTCGTGCCCCGCCGCGCTCTCCCTGCAGGGTATTTTTGGGATATTTCAGGGATAATTTCAGGGATAATTCCAGGATATTTTCAGGATCCGCGGGCGTCTCCAGCTCCAGCAGGTACTCGCAGCGGCTCGGCTCCGACGCCGCCGCCAGCGCCGTCTGCAGAGCGCACCTGAGCCGCACCTGGGGAGGGGGACAGGGACACACCTGAGTGACAGGGGACACACCTGAGTGACAGGGGACACACCTGGGACACACCTGAGAGACTGGGGACACACCTGAGTGACCTGGGACACACCTGAGCCGCACCTGGGGACAGGGACAGGGACACACCTGAGTGACAGGGGACACCTGAGTGACAGGGGACACACCTGGGACACACCTGAGTGATTGGGGACACACCTGGGGGGACACGGGATGGGGACAGGGACACCTGAGTGACAGGGGACACACCTGGGACACACCTGAGTGATTGGGGACACACCTGAGCCGCACCTGGGGACAGGGACAGGGACACACCTGAGTGACAGGGGACACCTGAGTGACAGGGGACACACCTGGGACACACCTGGGGACGGGGACAGGGACACCTGAGACACCTGGGGACACACCTGGGACACACCTGAGTGACAGGGGACACACCTGAGTGATTGGGGACACACCTGAGCCGCACCTGGGGACAGGGACAGGGACACACCTGAGTGACAGGGGACACCTGAGTGACAGGGGACACACCTGGGACACACCTGAGTGACCTGGGACACACCTGAGTGACAGGGGACACACCTGGGACACACCTGAGTGACCTGGGACACACCTGAGTGACCTGGGACACACCTGAGCCGCACCTGGGGACGGGGACGGGACACACCTGAGTGACAGGGGACACACCTGGGACACACCTGAGTGATTGGGGACACACCTGGGACACCTGGGGATGGGGACAGGGACACCTGAGTGACAGGGGACACACCTGGGACACACCTGAGACACCTGGGACACACCTGGGGACACACCTGGGGACAGGGGGGGACACCTGAGACACACCTGGGGACAGCTGAGTGACCTGGGAACACGCCTGAAATACCTGGGACACACCTGGGACACACCTGGGGACACCTGAGAGACTGGGGACACACCCGGCGGCACCAGGGAGGGGACAGGGACACACCTGGGGACAGCAGGGACACACCTGGCAGGGGACAGGGATAGGGGGGTCTGGGGACATTTTGGGGGCTCAGGTGACGTCACACAGGTGACGTCACACAGGTGACAGAGCCGTCACTCACCGTGGTGGCACCGCTGGGCCCCTGCCAGCAGCCGGGGCGGGGTTGGGGGCGGGGTTTGGGGACACACAGGTGACACACAGGTGACACACAGGTGACACACAGGGGGTGGGTTCAGTGACACAGGTGACACACAGGTGACACACAGGTGACACAGGTGACGTCACTCACCGTGGTGGCGCGGCTGGGCCCCTGCGTTCAGTGACACAGGTGACACAGGTGACACACAGGTGACACACAGGGGGGGTGGGTTCAGTGACACAGGTGACACACAGGTGACACACAGGTGACACGGATGACGTCACACCGATGCCGTCACTCACCGTGGTGGCGCGGCTGGGCCCCTGCCAGCAGCCCGTGCCCCCCTCGTATTTCTGGGCCCCGAATTTGTCGCCTTCGGGCCCCGCCCAGGAGCCCCAGAGCCTGCGGGGGAGGGGCGCGGTCACGTGATGGGAAAGGGGTGGGGCCTCGCGCAGGTGAGCCCGGAGGGGGCGGGGCCAGGGGGCAGGTGCCAGGGGGATTTTTGGGGTCCCCATGATGATTTTTGGGGTCCCCAGGGGGATTTTTGGGGTCCCCAGGGGGTTTTTGGGGTCCCCAGGGGGACTTCGGGGTGGTTTTGGAGGATTTTTGGGGTCCCCAGGAGGATTTTTGGGGTTCCCAGGGAGATTTTGGGGTCCCCAGGGTGGTTTTGGGGTCCCCAGGGGGTTTTTGGGATTCCCAAGGGGATCTGGGGTTTTTTTGGGGTCCCCAGGGGGATTTTGGGGCGGTTTTGGGATATTTTGGGGCGTTTTGGGGCGTTTTTGGGCTGCCCTACCCCAGGGCAGTCTTGGCCCCGCTGTGTCTGGGGTTAT